TCGTATTCGAAGGACGTCATGTGCATGACATTGAGAGTCCCTATGCTGCACCTGCAGTGCCTTGGACGAGGAACTTTCCTGCCTTCACAACTCCGAGCTCTATATTCTCAGTTCCGGTTCCCACAAGTAGGTCCAGGTTTCGTCCCACGTGATGACCGTGTGGAGGAACCAATCTTCCTCCCTGCGTGCACGAGCTTGATCTTTTTGATCTGGTTGCAATGCGACACCGGCAGTTTTCCTCTGTCAGAGGGCGTAATACCCACTTCACTGATATTTTCCTCCCGTAGATTTCTTCCTGGTTGTGTGGTAAGCTGCTCCATCACTTACAGTCAGCCAGTTTCCCACTCGTCTTGTGGTCGTTCACGTTTCTCCATAGATGTAACACTGCTTTCTTGGCCGTCTCTGGTGGAGTTACGAAGATCGATCGCCCGGCGCTGGTATGAACGCTCAGTCTCTCTATAATTGTGTTAAACGTTTCTACACAGAACTGCTGAAAAAACTACACAGAAAAAACTGCTGCACGCGCCGGACACTCGGGTCCGAGGGCTTGCGATAATCGTTTATGCTCGCTGGCGGACCCCAGGAGAAGCACGCACAACTTGATTACCTGCCTGCGCATCTTTCTTGACAAGTATTTTGTGACGTGAGGACGTGACATCCATGAAGGCGCCACGGAAAGATGACTGTGCAATTTGGAAGCCGAGGAATGACGTGTCAAACTATGATAAAGTGTAGGCGATAATATATTGCTGCAATTCGCGCTGGTTTTATAGATACAGACTAATAATATGACCTGCTGCACAACTGATGTACTAGGTATGTTCTCATGTGATCACTAGAAAAAGTGCTGGCAGGACTTTACAACTTGTGATCATTTACACAGAGTGATCATATAAGTGAAAAAGACAGCAAAGCTATGTACGCTCGGGACTTTCTGTTTGCGACTGACATATATATTTCATGTCATAAGTATTTTTATTTTTCACAAAAGAAGGCAGCTTAAATGCCTCATTACGCTCGACGCCTTGACCTAAAAAAATTCCAAGTCGGCTGTGCTTCGCCGAATTCGTATCCCATGACACAATTTTCAGACAATGAGCGGAATAAATATTGTCCAACATTGCCCAATATTGTCGCTGACTTATGGCGGGCCAAGGTCAGGCCATGGTTTCAACGTAAACAATTTCTTGGGAATCGTTCAATCTGATGCAACAACGGAGTGCTAGACCAAACCATATATCTCGGTGATAGTTTCTTAGGCAACACAATTAAAATTGAATTAACAAATTGCCATTGACCTAAGGTCAGGTATAAACGTCAGCGCAAGACCAGAAGCAACCTGTTTTTTATTACAGAGCTTGCTGTATAGGATACTACCATTTTGAATCTATTAATAACAGGAACCACATCATACATTTCCCATGAACTTCTGACAGGTTAGAACAGCTCACCAGCCTACAATGACCAAGGTCAGCATTTTGTTTTTTTCGGAATACGTTGCTCAACCTTATCCTTGACGCCTATTCAAAATGCAAAAATCAAAGCAGTCTTGTATTATTTTGGTCACGATGACCTTCTAGAGGTCGAACAAGGTGATCGACCTCAAATGAGTACCAGTGACTTTCTGCTTAGAACAGGTATCTATGTTCGTGGCGGTTGTATGAGAATGTCTGGGGACACTTTGGACACAAGTCTAGAGTGTGACCTTGTTTGACTTTATTTGACCCAAAGGTCATGGTCTAAGAACTTCAAATGTTGACACACAAGAGTTCACGTACAGGTTAACACAACCCGTGAATTAAGTGTCTGTAGCTCTCTTAGCTTCTAAGGTCTCAGAGGTCAAATTGACCCCACACCTGAGCAACGGGTATTCAACCAGCCACCCGGGCACGTGTTAAGCAGCTATTAAAACCCCTCTTTATGCTGAGTGAGCAGCCGGGCGCCTGATTGCGACCTCCCACCCCCGCATTTCCGCTCGAGGTGCCTCATACACACACACACACACACACACACACACACACACACACACACACACACACACACACACACACACACACACACACACACACACACACACACACACACACACACACACACACACACACACACACACACACACACACACACACACACACACACACACACACACACACACACACACACACACACGCACACACGCACATACGCACACACACACACACACACACACACACACACACACACACACACACACACACACACACACACACACACACACACACGACCCGCCAATCCGTGAGTGTATCTGGATTTGTGTGCGTGGGATTACCTTTGACATCCTATGGCATCTGGCCTTTGTGTCTGGGCGATGGGCGATAACCGCCCGGAGTTTATTGAGGATGCCGCAGACGTGTGTTTATGTCTGCGTCCTTTCGCAAGTATAGCAGGCGCGTATGCTTTGATGTTTGGCGTCTGCGCATATATTTGCAAATAATATTGCTGGTCCGATGGCTGGCCGAGTGCCTGGCAACAAGTGACAATTTTAGGTGACGAGGCGAATATATACATCTATCTATGTATGTCTGTATATATGTATGTACATATTTATACACATAAACATGTATATATATATATATGTATACATATATATATATGCATATATATATTACTATATATATATGTCTATATATATATATATATATATATATATATATATATACAACATCCTATGATATTACACGTGCACACATATGCTCAGTATGTGTGTTGCGCACACACAGTACGCTGTATGTTGTGCAACATGAACGTGTTGTATTTGAGACCGGCTTCGCGACAGGTGACACCGGCTACGTGCTGGGCGGCTACTAGCACACCGTTGGCTCGTACAGTGTTGAAATGGCGCAATAATTTGCAGAGCCACACCGTGCAACCGGCTTCACATCGTCTCCTGCTCCGAGGTCTGACGCCCATTCTTAAACCGCATCCGTCGTGAATGGCGCGCCTGTGAGCGTAAAAGACTGAACACGTCAATCCCATTAGCTCTTGTATGATTGCTTGCTTTCTCCTGCCTCAGAACCAGTCAGTCTGGTACGGCTGTGACGTCCGGTCGCCCAGAACCGGACCCGTTTCCGGCCCGCGTTCTTCACATTTTCGTTGTTTGAAAACCATGCGTTTCCCATGCGAATGAAATGGAGATGGAACATACTGGTGATATCGCGGCGTCGCAGCGATGTGCCGCCTGGTAACGCAGCTCGCGTTGAAGTGCCTTAAAAGAATTACAGAAAAAAACTTTAAAAAATTGTGCCAGGCGTTTCTGCAAACATCATGGCGGTGCGATACGTTGCTGCTAAGTTTAAAGGCCCGGTTTGTGCGTGACCGGCCTGGCCACGCCGGGCTCCTAAAATCGTACGATTTATTGCGCGCGGACGGAGACTGAGGCAAAAAAATGCGCGGCTGGGCGGCGCGCTGGCGGCACGGCCGCATCCCGCGGCTGCTTCACATGGCTGATGACAAAAACAGCCCCGGGTCAGGGCGGTGCGGCGGGCGACGCGACGTCGCGGCGCGCCAAACGTCCGGCCAGAAATAGCGGACCGTCGGGAGGGCGAGCCGCGGCGCCGGCGGCGGTCAGTCGCGTGCCGTCCCGATGGCGTCCGAGGGGTCCGCCGGCAGCCCCGCGGCGGTCCCGCTAGGCGCCCGGCTGCGTCAGGTGTGGCGCGAGCTGGCGCCGGCGCGGCGCCAGCTGGCGCAGGAGGCGCTGCTGTGCGCCGTCGAGACGCTCGGCCTGGCGCTGCTGGTGCTGGCCGGCGGCGGCGCCTTCTCGCTGCTCGAGGGCGGCCTCGAGCAGCAGGTCAAGTGTGGAGTGCGTCACCAGCAGCTCAAGTTCCTCGATGACCTCTGGGGCAAGTCGGACCAGCTGGACCGGCGCGCGTGGCGTGCGCTCGCGCGCCGACATCTCACCGACTACGAGGAGCAGCTGCTAGTGGCATACAGCAGCGGTGTCACCTCGCCGTCCGGCCAGCGCATGTGGACGCTCGGCAACGGCGCTGTATACGCCTGGACGGTGGTGACCACGCTCGGTTAGTGCAGCGCCGCCGGCCAGCGAACGGGTCGGTGCGCTGGCGGCGCGCGTGACACCGGCGGTTGGCGGCCGGCACCGCTCCAAGGCGACCGCCAACAACGCCAGCGGCGATTTATGCAAAAGCGTTACCTGAAGCCGCGGTTAGAGCCGGGTGGCAGTTGGAGCTCTGAAGCGCCGATTTATTTGGAACGTTCTTGGAACCAGCATTTTAACTCTTGTTGGCATCCAAGTCCTCTGTTGTTTTGTAGGTGGCTGCCGATGTCCGGACGCCTTTTTATTTCGGGCGGCACGCCAGCGTGCGTCCTGTTCTGGGCCGGCCAGTGTGCGCTACAGGGTCCAAGGCCTGTACGAAGCCTCATGCAATTGATGGAGAGCCAAAAAGCTGATTTTCTAAGAACAGCCAGTGGTGTCTGCTGTTGTAGTGGCCTGGGGTGACGTCCTGGTGACTCGGCTCAAATGGCGAGCGGGCCGAGGTGCACGTTGGGTAGCGGTGTATGGTCTCCCCAAAGATGGTCAAGCTCCAATCCATCCATGCAACAAGGTGGTGCGTGGATCTATCCTGCCTTGCGCTCTACATTCCCTGAGAACAAGCTTGAAGCCCAACGCAGTAAGAAAACTGTCTTTATATAGCTCTGCAGACGTGTTCATGTGAAGGACCACAACAAACATGGACAGGACAGAAACGTCATGTACCAACCACTTAACGCATGGTTACCCTTTACGTCAGCCTACTTCTCGACAGTTAACACTTCATGCAACTATCGTCTTATTTCATATTTCGCCATTTATGTTACTCCCTTATCTCCTGACAGGCAACGCTCCGCGTAATGATGACCCTTTTGATTCTAGGCCATCTGTGTTACCGCAACATTTTTGCCGCATATAGTCATACGTGTCGAGGCTGTAGGGTGGGCGGGTGCCATCTTTTGACGGTCTTTTTCAGGCTATGGCCACTTGTCGCCGGCCACCAGCGCCGGTAAGGCGGTCAGCATCATTTACGCGATCATCGGCATCCCCATCTTCCTGATCGTGCTGGCCGACTATGGCAAGCTGTTCACGCGCGGCCTCAAGTTCGTCATGGCCGCCGCCTACCGGCTCTACCACACCAAGAGCTGTACGCGGGTCCGCCGCACCGCACCGGTCGAGGTGAGGTCAGACGGTGATTAGAGGCAGGAGAGAGAGAGAGAGAGAGAGTAGAGAGAGAGAGAGAGAGAGAGAGAGAGAGAGAGGAGAGAGAGAGAGAGAGAGAGAGAGGAGAGGGAGAGGGAGAGAGAGAGAGAGAGAGAGATAGATGAGAGAGGGAGAGAGAGAGAGAGAGAGAGAGAGAGAGAGAGAGAGAGAGAGAGAGAGAGAGAGAGAGAGAGAGAGAGAGAGAGAGGAGATGAGGAGAGAAGAAAGAGAGGAGAAGGAAGAGAGAGAGAGAGAGAGTAGAGGAGAGAGAGAGGCGGTATCGGCACACCATGTCACATGTCACGGCCTCGGTGGCACCATAGATTGAGGCAGGCCATACGGAAGGCCGCGGTGGCACAGCGTTACCGCTCGATACGCCAACTGCGTGTAGTTGTGTTCTTAGGATAGTTTTATCTGGAAAGGGTCAAAGTCACCGCAGGACTTCCAGCTCTGGTGAAGCATATGTGGCGTAGAACGTTGTTAAGTCGACACCATTCATCTCGAATTGGAGCAAAGCTCAATCATTACCATCTGTCAAACCACTGAAATACATCAAGACAAATGCTTTGAAAACACTTCTAGGTTTCTTTATGTTATCTTATAGTTATCTTTATCTATTATGTTGGATACGCCTGCCGTAGTGTTGACATTTTGAAGACAAAGATGGATTCTTTGTATGTTTTGTCAATGTCACGACTGATTTACTGCCAGCACAGCACCTATCATCTCCGCTTCTTTTGCTACCTGCTTCACATTTGGCAAAATCAGCCATGAGATACCGCCTCCACAAGCACAACACAAGACGGTTTCTTTGACGACTTTTTTTGCTAAGCACATGTGTTTGGCTGCTTTTTCTCACCTACTCCAGCTTAAGGGGGTCGGAATTCGCCGGTCGCTTTGCAGTTTAACGACATCCTTCTCCAAAGCGCGAAAATTTAGATATACGCACTCACTTCCAAATATGGTAGATTTGCCTCTTAATGGGCGGACCCAAAATGCCTGCACTATTTGATAAGTAATATTGCTAAACTGTTAAGTGGCCCGAGCATTATGTTCCACCACAGGTGCAGTAGGTGAAAAGCAGCCTGACACAAACATCAGCACGCCCAGTTCGCAAAACACCATATGTTTTGCTCGTATATCTGGTTCTTCATCAGTCATTGTAGCTTTACTCAACCCCCCCCCCCCCTCCCCAACGTCGATGACTTTTTTCATGGACCGAACACAATGCCCACCACCCGTCAATCCCGCCTATCAGGATAGCCTCAGCTTCTGTCGCCGTCACCGCTACCAACTGTCACTGGCACGCGCGGTGAGCTCCATCACCTCACGCAGCCGCCATCCGCTCCACCAACATTGCCGTTTGTCTGCCGCGCAGCACATGGTGAAGGGGATCCAGGCGGCGTATGACAAGACCGGACTGGGCGGTGACGAGCCAACGCATGCCGAGCCGGAGGCCGACGACGACGTCGAGGCGGTCGTCCAGATAGACGACGAGTTCAACCTGCCCGTCTCACTGGCGCTCTTCATACTGCTCTCCTACCTCTTCATCGGTGCCATCATGTTCGTGCTGACAGAGGACTGGTCGTACTTCGACGCCTTCTACTTCGTCTTCATTTCCATGACCACCATCGGCTTCGGAGACCTGGTACCTTCGGTGAGTGCTCAGCCGGGAGGAAGCAAGCGTGGCAATCCCCAAGGAGGTGCCGCTTCAGTGAACGGTGCGCCCAAATGACCTGTTGGGGTCTGGAGTGCGCACATAGAAATCAGAACGTGCAAGGACGCGGAGAGCACGATTCCACAGTGATTCAGCTTGCTTAGAGCTGCTCAATGCAGGCGCGTGCATGAATGCCACGTAAAAGGTGTGGCAAATCGCATTCCCACGTCTCATATACGTGAGCAACGAAACGGCGACCGGGCCCGTAGTTGTCGGTGTTCGCCGGGGAAACCCTGGACACTGGGCCAGCGCTGCACGTGATTGTCCGCTGCGCCATGACCTCTCTCTGTGGCATGGGGCAACCCACCCGGGCCGCGATCAGGGACGCCCCGGCGGGTGGGGCCCAGCCACCGGAGCGGCGCTGACCGGCGTCGCGTACTGACCCCAGGACGGGTCCAGAGGGCGCGGCCTGCTGGCCCGACCCGAGAGCAGAGAGTGGCGCGAGGTGCAGGTAACGGTCAGCCTTCCACGTGTGCTGCTCAGCTCAGCACAGCCGAGCACGGGCCGCGGCACGGCCGGCGTCCTGTCCCTCAACACAGCCTTCGCTGCCGGTGTACTGCCCCTCATGACGGCCTTAGCCGCCGGCGTCCTACCTCCCACCACAGCCTCAGCCACCGACGTCCTGCCCCTCACCACAGTTTCAGGCGCCGGTGTTATGCTCCCCGCCACAGCCTAAGCCGGTGTCCTGCCGCTCACCACAGTTTCTGCCGCCAGTGTCCTGTCCTCACCACAGTTTCAGCCACCAGTGTCCTGTCCCTCACCACAGTTTCAGCCGCCGGCGTCCTGCCCCTCGCTACAGCCTCAGCCGCCGGCGTCCTGCCCCTCACTTTAGCGTCAGCCGCCGGGGGCACCGGCTGCTGCGCGTCATTTGGAGCATGCACTCCAGCGCTTTGCACTCCGCACTTCAGGGGATTCGATCAGGTAGAAAATCAGTTGTGAAGAAACACAAAAAACAAAAAACAGAGAATTGCGTTTTTCATATCCGGGCATTTTGTTTCAATCCAGACATATTCACCGCACTCATATCAGATCTCACCTTTTGTGAGGAGTCCAGAACCTGTGCTGTACCAATGCAGGTAAGTTTGGCATTTTATTCCAACATCAGACGTGTCAGCTGGCGCGGCACCTCGAAACATTGCAGCTCCCGTGGTAGTACGCGGAAACACGGCGGCGTTTCGGAACGGAGCGTTGCGTTGGGTATAGGCAAATAATACATTGTCATAGTGGCGATATTTTAAGCATTATGTATCTCTTGAAACCAAAAAATAATGGGATGGGAGTTTTCCGCCTCCCTGAAGAAAAAGTCTGTTTCAAAATACGATCGTTTTCAGCGAGCGCCAGCTGGGTCAAGTGAACACGGGTTTCTCAGCACGCAGGTGCTCACTGACAGCGGACCCGCTGGCGCCCGGTCCGACGAGGCCCTGCGCGGGTCCCGATCCAGGGCAGCGGCCGTGCAGCCGACCGCTCAGTGTGGGGCGGCGGGTCGACGGCCACTCCGGCTGTGACCCTGACCCACAGCAGCGGCGAGCGGACGCGGCGCCAGCGCTGTGCGGCGGTGCGCCGCCCGACGCTAGTTGGCACGGCTTGTGCGACTCTCTGCTGACCAGCGCGCACGGGTTTGAGCTCAGCACAGGGCACAGCACCCACCGTCCCGAGCCTCGCGATAGCTCCTGTACAGTTCATGTTACCTGAGATCCTGCTACTAGGTATCAGTTTCGGTCACGCGACCAGGCATAGCAAACTGAGCCCACAAAGCACACACATCGGGTTTAAATGTGCACTACCTTCGATCATGAATAGCGTTTTTTGAAGCTGATCGAAAAGTGGCTGAGTACTACAGACGGAAAATAAGATACTTTTCTGTGTTCTTTTTTTAGTTCTTTTGGTGACATGGTTATGATCTACATCCCACAGTGAGGACCGAGACAAATAACGATGAATCCAACGCCCACCCAAAAAGGGACAGAGCTCCACCCATGGTGGGGCTCCACCCAAAGCCATTGACCGAGGAAAATATTGTGCAGTGCACGTGAAATTCTTACAATGGCCTCTGTGTGCGACTCCCGCACAAGCACCAAATGTTCCAATTACGTCACATGTCGGGACAGAGCTATTACAATACACCGACATGTGAATGACAGGCAACTGGTCGAGCTGTGGTTGTCATCCCATGACCAGAGTTCGACTCGAGCTCCGATCATGTGAACACGTGAATGACAGGCAACTGGTCAAGCTGTGGTTGTCATCCCATGACCAGAGTTCGACTCGAGCTCTGATCATGTGAACATGTGAATGACAGGCAACTGGTCGAGCTGTGGTTGTGATCCCATGACCCGAGTTCGACTCGAGCTCTGGTCATGTGAACATGTGAATGACAGGCAACTGGTGGAGCTGTGGATGCGATCCCATGACCAGAGTTCGACTCGAGCTCGATCGTGAACTGGCTTACGAGGCGATCGCTTTCGGGTGAGCCAAGAGCCGAGTCAGTTCGTTTGGAGGAATGCCGCTTTGAACTGCCACCTGAATCACATACTTCCGAACCCGCTGGCCCGATATCGATGCTTCTGATAATTTCCGATACCGATACGACTATCGATCATTCCCAACAGTGTCGTGTCAGTGAGAGGACAGGAACAAGAACAGCGATTTGGCACGACCGTCAACTGAAATCAGAGTAACAACGGGCGATGCTTCAATGCTGACAGGGAACGTCCTTGACACTACAAAATAAGCACGATAAGATCATTCCTTAGATACGCATTTAAGCATTGCTTTGATTTGACAAGACTGCATTCAGAATTGGTACGAGTCAAACAGATCTGGTGAATGACGGGTTTTCAACTTCTGAAGTTGAAACAAAACACAGCGACGTATAACATGACACTTTGACAACAAACAATACAAACAGCCAACCGTCCAACCGTATTGTCAAAATAAAGGGGCATCTGTTTACAGACAGGACGGAAAGCTTTACGGACAATCATCTCTCGGTACGTAAGAAGCAGGAACCACCACAGAACAGACATTGCCATTTTTTATTGCAACATAAAGCTTTCAACGTTCTTATGAGGAACAGCCCTCACAAATCCGACAAGCTAAATGCACCCATGTAGTGCATTAATTCAAACGTAATCTCGAAGGCCGCAAACTTAGTTCCATATACTTTACTGACGCTATCAAAACGAGCTCTCACGGCGCCTTGCAGTGCACCATCGCGACGGGGCACCTCTGGAGCACTTGCAACACGAACATGGCAGGAGCAAACGCGATAACAATTGATGAACAACACTTACATTCTTCAAACGTGCAATGACAGAAGATGCCTGCGAATTTGGGGAAGAACATTTATCAACGAATTCTCTCCATCCCCAAATAAACAACTAAATTTGTGCACAACTCATGAGTAAATCGGTGGCGGGCTGTAGCTGCTGTGCGTGTGGTTGTGGCTATGTGTTTTTCTACCGTTTTCATCACGGATGAATTTTATTCATATCCAAATAGCGACAGGAATATTTGTCTTCGTACCAAAAGATGTTCTTAGGAATGTAATGCGAAGGTAATTAAGAAATGAAAGTAACGTAAAAGTAAATGGAAATTGACGAACGCACGAGTGGTTTTGTACGAACACTTTTTTATCTCAACGATACTGCCAAGTCGAAAGCCCGCAGCCTCAAACGATGCATCAAGAAGCTGGCTCATGCGGAGTCAGCGGTCGTTTTTAAATCAAATATGCATAAACGAAAATATTCTGCCAAGATATGTATATATATATATATATATATATATATATATATATATATACATATATATCTAGATATATGATATAAATGATATCTTATGTGATATATATATATATATATATATATATATATATATATATATTATTGAGTCATGTGGCTTACGAGTCAAAAAACGATTAGTCATAGCTGAGTCGGATCTTTGATTTTGCGAGCCGCGTGAGTTATAAATTAAATGATTCAACACTAGCAATGAGTCTGAACTGAGCTGAATCAGAACAAACTGGAATGCCATGAGTCATGAGTTGAATGGAATCCCAAAATCTGAGCCAGTTCTGATCCGGCTCATCGAATTTGAGTCGTTCATAAGTGTGTCTACGACCAAGAGCTAATATTTTAAAAGGAAGTTCTACAACGATGTCATTTCCCCCATCATCTGTCGCTCGTGGTGAAAAACCATTGACGAGAAGAATGGCCAACAACAATTAACAAACAGGAGCTATTTCCTATTGAGCAGCCGTTTCACCAGCTCATGCAACGACGAATTGCCGTAAATGTCGAAAGCCAAATACCGTCAGAAATAAGGGTTCGTTTGGCGGCCTGAGTCGATATTGAAATATATTTTATGGCTGGCCTTACGAGCATTCCACTATGCGCGCAAGGGCATCAGCTACACTAGGTACGGCCAATGGTCTTAAGATCACAGAAAAACCCCTACGAGATTCCTCATCTAATCTTAAGCATTAGCTACCTCAAGTGACTTTGATATAGCGTCAGATATGCCATGGCATGAATACTGAGGGCGTCATGCAACATCTCCAGCTCAAAGCCTGCTAGCCGCCAGCCATCTCAAGTCCCAGACAGTTTTACAAGGCGTCACTCTGATATCGTAAGCACCCTCTGTTCAAGCAGCGCACTGCGTGCATACCGCTGTCATGATAGCCAGCGCCGAAAGATAACGCCGAGTTGCCAGCGAGAGGCAGAGCAGGAGCCCCGGAGGGTGAAAAGAAAAGAAAAGCTTTGAGCGAATAAGCCGCACGGTGGTACGATTGAACCAAGGCAAATGTGCAACCGTGATAATAGAAAGCTTGATGGCATTGGTGAGGGCTCTGCCAGTGCACATGACGCAGAAGCATGCCACTGCATCCAGCATCAAATTCCGATCGCTTGGTATTCGAGGCACGCTAGCCAAGTCTAGCCTTTTTTCTAGCAGGCTAGTGTTGATCGCGCTGTTTCTCTTTACATGGAAGAGGCATGCAGGCATCGTGGGTTTCTGCATCACCGCCAGACAGGGTGGAACTTGGCCAGCGGTAGCCGTGTTCATGGATTTGTTTACGCCCGTAGCTAGATCCTTTGGCCACAGGCGGCAGTTTCTGGCTGGGCCATTGTTGTTTCCCATTCGCCGCCGCTGTCTCCGATTCCGGACACTCGTTCACGACCCAAAGCCGCTGTTGCTGGCTCCGTGCCGCTGTTGCTCACTCTGCGCCGCTGGTTCTGACTTTGAGCCGCTGTTTCTGACCGTGAGCCGCTGTTTCTGACCCTGAGCCGCTGTTTCTGACCCTGGGCCGCTGTTTTTGACTCCGAGCCGCTGCTTCTGACCTTGTGCTGCTGTTTCTGACCCTGAGCTGTTATTTCTGACCCGGGCCGCTGTCTCTGACTCCGGACCATCATTCGCAGTCGGCTGGCGTGATGATGTGCACCACCCTCTACATGATCTTCGGCCTGGCGCTCACCAGCATGTGCATCAACGTGATGCAGGAGAAGATGACGCTGCACTTCAAGCACGCCAGCGTTAAGCTGGGCACGCGGTTCGGCGTCAGCGTGCCTGTGACGCCGGCGCCGCCCCTCATCGAGGTGGCACCTGTGCACGGCAAGGACAAGTAGCGCGAACGGCGACAGCGAAGCCTGAGGAGACTGAGCGGCGCCGACAGACCGTCCGATGGTGGCCGGTCTGTCGGCAGACCGTCCGGCGGTGGCCGGTCTGTCGGCAGACCATTCGGCGGGGCCGGTCCGCCGGCAGACCATTCGGCGGGGCCGGTCTGTCGGCAGACCGTCCGGCAGTGGCCGGTCTGTCGGCAGACCATTCGGCGGGGCCGGTCTGCCGGACCGTCCAGGGGCCGCCGGACTGCCGCCCCGGCATAACTCCGCCCTCAGTGAAGCAGGTGTCGCTCGTGCGCCCGCCACCTGATTGACTGGGGCTGAAAGGTCTGACCTGAGGTCACGACCGCTCAAAGGTCACGTTTCGGCTCAGAGCTGCTGGCTGGTTCGGGGCCGCTCTGGCGAAGGAAGTTTTGTCAGCACCGTCCCCTAGTGCCTTCCAGGCGACCCCGACGAATGGCCCGGCCAGCACCGCCCCTCAGTGCCTTCCAGGCGGCCCCAGTGTGAACTGGATGAGATTATCGCGCAGCCGACGGCGGGAGAGTGCCGCCGGCTGGGGAAGTCGGAGTGTTTGTGTGTAAACGTCGGCGCGGTGACGGCACCGATGCCACGAATCGTGTGTTTGCGTGAAACCGTGGGACTGCGCCAGTGGTGTTTGCCGTGAATCGACTCGCCTTTTTCGTTTAGTACGGCAAACCGCATGCGCGTGAATGTGACGACCGTTCACGTGTGCATGAGTGACAGTGATTTATAGGGCTGTCACCGGTTCAATACTAACTTTCTGGAAAAAGGTAGGCTGATCATGACGTGTGCAAAGAATAACTTCCGCTTTTTTGCTTCCGTGATTTGCAAACATGGAGGTCGATGGCGGCGATGATAAACTGCTTTCTCAAAGGTGGACGACGGTCGGGTTGTGCTGGCGGTCCGCGAGTTCTGGGCCAGTCAGCATTCAACGAGAGAAGCCAACTGGACCGCTGTTTGATTTTCAGACCGAGTTGTTTCCTGCTGATGTATGCCGTCACTTTACCTGAATATGGACAACGTTTCGATGGATGTGTTTCGCTTGATGCTTCTGCCATTGGTGCATTCGCGCCGCGGGATGTTATCCGCCGTTTAGCGAAAAAGGCTTCTGCGGAAATTTGATGAAGACTTTTGAATACGCTTCACCTGAGATGATTGCATAATTGCACTTGATCTATACGATGGTGAAGTCCAGAACTATGATCAGCTTTCGGCGATGTGTTTTCTGACCAAAACGGAACGAAGGGCATAAGGAACGCGAGAATGTGGTGTGCGATACGTATCATAACAAACATTGAGCGCACGGTAATCGAAAAACGTGCAAACGGCTTGCAGTATGCTTTTGATCATCATTTCGGTAAAAAAACAACAATCGCAATTTGAACAACATCATTTCAAACGAAAACAAGCTTTTCAAATGCAATATCTCTAGTACGACGAAGAAATTCCGAGGTACATTGATGTAGTTATTTCATACGACACAGTTTTGGATGAATTAGTGCGCACCGCAAAGGAATTTAGGGTTTGAATGCAGCCAAGGAAAAATAAGCCGACATTTGTTTCCGAACTGGT